AAAACTAGTTCATGCATTTATTACTTCCAGGCTGGACGACTGTAATTCATTATTATCAGGATGTCCTAAAAACTCACTGAAAAGCCTTCAGCTAATCCAAAATGCTGCAGCAAGAGTCCTGACAGGGACTAGAAAGAGAGAGCAGATTTCTCCTGTTTTGGCTTCCTGTTAAATCCAGAATTGCAAAATCCTGCTCCTCACATACAAGGTCTTAAATAATCAGGCCCCATCTTATCTTAATGACCTTGTAGTACCATATCACCCTATTAGAGCACTTCGCTCTCGCTCTGCAGGCCTACTTGTTGTTCCTAGAGTATTTAAAAGTAGAATGGGAGGCAGAGCCTTCAGTTTTCAGGCCCCTCTTCTGTGGAACCAGCTTCCAGTTTGGATTCGGGAGACAGACACTATCTCTACTTTAAGATTAGGCTTAAACTTTCCTTTTTGCTAAAGCATATAGTTAGGGCTGGACCAGGTGACCCTGAATCCTCCCTTAGTTATGCTGCAATAGACGTAGGCTCGCCGGATCCCATGATGCATGGTTTTCTTCCGTCACTTTCTCACTCACTATGTGTTAACAGACCTCTCTGCATTGAATCATATCTGTTATTAACCTCTGTCTCTCTTCCACAGCATGTCTTTATCCTGTCTTCCTTCTCTCACCCCAACCAATCACAGCAGATGGCCCCGCCCCTCCCTGAGCCTGGTTCTGCTGGAGGTTTCTTCCTGTTAAAAGGGAGTTTTTCCTTCCCACTGTCGCCAAAGTGCTTGCTCATAGGGGGTCATATGATTGTTGGGTTTTTCTCTGTATGTATTATTGTACGATCTACTGTACAATATAAAGCACCTTGAGGTGCCTGTTGTTGTGATTTGGCGCTGTGTAAATAAAATGGAATTGAACTGAATTGAATTGAATGATGTTGCCCTACATAATTCACCGTGAGAGAATTATGTTCTTGCACTTTCAATACCTCCAAATAAATATACTCAAAAGCAAGCTCACAGAGGTGGGAGCAGATTCCTCCTCTGTTTCCTGGATCACCGACTACCTGACAGAAAGCCCATAGTTATCAGGTTGGGTGGGACACTAATGAGCAGCACAGGGGCTTTCCCGGCTCCATTTCTTTTCACACTGTATACTTCAAATACAACTCTGAGTCCTGTCACATCTAGAAATACTTGGACGACCGTGCCACTGTGGCATGTATCAGAAATGAAACCGAGTCTGTCCATTGTAAAAGCCTTCATTGACTGGAGTTACAAAAATGGTTCATATTAAACACCTCTAAGATGAAGGAAATGATAGTAGATTCAGAGGTTTGTGGTTTAGACATAGAGGTTGTAACAAAATATAAATATCGAGGTTTTCACCTGAATAACAAACTAGACTGGTCCCTCTATACAGACAAACTATTACAGGAAGTAGCAAAGTCCCCTCTTTTTGTTAAGAAAACTAAGAATATGCTGAGATCTGCTGTAAAATGCTACAGATGTTCTATCAGTCTGCGGTGGCAAGTGTGCTTTTCTATGATGCAGTGTGCTGGGGGGGGGGGCATTAGAAACACGGATGCAGGCAGACTGGTGAGGAAAGCTGGCTTTGTAATTGGAACCAGACTGGACACGCTGGGAGACGTGGTGGAAAGATGCACACCAAAGATGTTAGAGCCAGTAACTCTGATCAGCCACTTTAGCTTTATGAAACAAAAACAGCAGTACTGGAGGATTCTTGTCTCTTTATTGGAAAACAGAGAAATACAGAGAATCACCCCCAACCATCGAGCTTTTTAATTCTCATACAAATAGCAGATTAGCTCTGTCAGACTTTTCCAATAAAATGATTCTTATTCTTATTATCGTCATAAGCCTTTCCAGTATTGCTCCGTCTCCAGCCTCGCTGGGACTGCTCTCGTATCGTTCCCTCCACTGAGCGCACACCTTGGATAGTTTAGTGGCAGACATCTTTGTTCTCCTGACTTTTAACTGTCTGGTTTACCTGTTCAGGTATCATAAAATTACATAAATATAAAATAAAATCCAACTTTTTTCACATTTTAAACTATTAATTGTATTTCAATTTGTGTAACCATGTAAACATGCAAATACATTTAATTTAATATTAAAATAATCAACAAAAATACAAAAGACTTGATGGAGTTTAAAGTTGATAGAATTGCATTAAAACTTAATTTGCCTTCCTGGAAACACATTTTTTTCTGTATTTTAATCATGAAAAATTTCAGTATTTGTACATGATGGTAAATTCCATTATTTCAGCTACCAGAATATGCAGTAGGTTTGTTCTTGTTGTTTTGATAGTGGCCATTCTGGGGGCTAATAACAGATTGTTGATTTTTGTTGTTGTTGATGTTTATGAAAATCATTTCTCTATAGTGGTGCTTCCTCTTTAAAAGTCCAGTGAATCCGTTGATTGGTATCAGCTGCATTAGTCACAGAATTCCAGGTTCACTGAACACGTGGTTAAGTATGTTAAATTACGCCACATGTAGAGCTGCGTTTGAGTGTTGTCATCGTGAGCGCTGCTGTCAGAGACGCTCAGAAATACTTCCGAGCGTGGACAAGACGTCTTTTAAAACGTGCCGGTGAAGTGAAATCTTCCACAGGAAGCACAGATGCATTTCTTTTCTATTCAAGTAAATATTCGAGCTTATGTGACAGATTTATGTATTTCTGTGTCAAACGGGCTGAAATGGTCACAAAGAAACTTCAGTGTAAACTAAACTGAAAATGAGTTTAGTTTAGTTTAAATTCAATTTAAACTAAACTATTGTTCATTTTTCTGGTTGAATTTTAAAGCTATAAGTGCAGCTGTTCCCTACAAACAATGTGCAGGTAAATAATAACCAGAGTTGTGCAGTCAGGAAGAGATGGAGGGTGTTTGTAGACAGAGCCAATGGGAGTTCAGTGTTTGCGTGTGTTTGCACATCAGTGTGTCTGAGTGTGTGTGTGTGTGGGGGGGGTTCGCCTCTCCTCTCTGCAGTGGACCTGTCGCACACAATACTTAGCACCAGATCAACCCCTCCCATCCCCGCACCCCCCCTCCCGCCTCTTCCCTATACTCTGTGTGGGATCAAGTCTCACTCGTCCACAGCCTTCATGTCTGACAGTACCGAGGATAGAAGAAGAGGAGGAAGACAGAGAGTGACGGCAGACACATTCTTCTGAGGTTTGGACGCACCCGGGGAAGTTTTTGTCCATGTCACCAGCAGACCTGACGCCAGGACAGCCATCAGCCTGCAGCAGAGCTCTTTGCCCTTTCCACGGATTAATTTAACTATCCTGGGATTCCATGTAAGTGAAACTGCCCAACTTTCCCCGCTCCCCTTCAGTAATTTTGTCTTTTTATTTTTCAGCTTTTCTTGGTGTGTTTGAAATCCAAGTAGATTTTTTTTTTCCTGTGCATTAAAGTTCGCAAGACGACCAAAGTAAAAATTGAGAGGCTTCGTTAACGTTCTTCTGTGGGACGATTTGCACTTTTCCAAAATACACACGTTGTTTGTTCTTGGACAGAGTCAGAAGAATAAACCGTGAATAGCGCTTGGAACGCAAATAAAAGCCCGTCTGCGTTCCTCACGAGCAGATCACTGTGCTGATGAAAAGCGACCGTTTGATGCTTCAGTTAAATCACGGTAATAATAATAATAATAATAATAATACATTTTATTTAAATAGCGCCTTTCAAAGCACCCAAGGACACTGTACAACAGATAAAAACTGGAATGTTAACTTTATACACGGCCGGCGTGACGTGCTTCGAGTAAATCCGACAATTCGCACTTGGTACAAGAGAGCGGTGCTGTTTGCTGCAGCGCTTCTCCGTGGGTAGGTGTTCGAGGCCTGTTTTTCTTTTACCTCTATTTTTGTAATAACCAGAAAGATGATCATCTCGAAACGTGTTCAAACGATGACGTGACAATATTTGAAAATGTGAAAAATATTTGTGAATGTGAGGAAAACTGATGGGAGACTGCAGAGGCCCGAGGAAACCCCACGAACCCGCGGACAGAAACACTGAACTGCGCGGACATACACGCGCGCGGATACTCACAAGCTTCACTCTGTATAATCACACTGAAGGGAATCTTCAAGGAAACAACAGCAGCAACAACAACAATAATAATAATGCTATTATTATTATTATTATTATTATTATTATTATTATTATTATTATTATTATTATTATTATTATTATTATTATTGTTCCACAAAATAATTTTGTTTCATTCCTTTAAAATAACAAAAAAGGGAAAGAGCGTGAAACTGTCACTACAGAATAAACAGATCAAAATGTTCGATCACTATAAACTCGCGCTGTTTATATTATTATTATTATTATTATTATTATTATTATTATTATTATTATTATTATTCCACAAAATATTTTTGTTTCATTCCTTTAAAATAACAAAAAAGGGAAAGAGCGTGAAACTGTCACTACAAAATAAACAGATCAAAATGTTCGATCACTATAAACTCAGAAGCTCGCGCTGCTCAGATTATTATTTTTATTGTTATTATTATTATTATTGTTGTTGTTATCATTATAAACATGAAAATCAAAGAGATTGTTCTTTTTTAAATTTATAAATGACCATCTTAGCGTTGCCCCTGCAGGCCTGTACTTTATAGCCTTTTTTGCATATGTTTTCAGATCCGGACATATGAAAATACTTACATGAATTTGTTTAATCGAAGTTCACGTTTGGCCTCAGGGCACAATGGAAATATTTTACACCCAGCCGAGGGCCGAGGTGCTCCGCTGAGAGGCCAAGGTTCCAGCACAATGACTTATCAACATGTTTACATTAGCCTACTTTTGTGATCTGTCGAAGTAATAATAATAACAACAACAACAATAATACTAATACTAATACTACTACTAATAATAATAACAATAATAATAATAATAACAATAATACTAATAACAACAACAACAACAACAACAATAACAATAATAATAATAACACAGACTTGGAGTTGACTGTCATTTGTGCTCCATCTAATAATAAGAAGCAGATCGCAAATCAAACTGTGCTCTTCCATCCCTGCAGACTGACTTTCAAACACAACCTTTAGTTATAAATGGACCCAGATTCACGCGCGGGACTTAACCCGGCCGTCTGTGAATAAAATCGCGAGTGTTTAGTATTCCCCTGCAGGTCTGAATTTCTGTTAACTAAAGTTGCTTCGCAGACTGAGCTGAATGGGTGAAATGCATTTTTTATCGGGCCTAATAAATTCTTGATGTGGAAACGCTCTGTACTGATCACTGTCGAGAGCTTCTATTGGCTCGCCCAACCAATTATTCCTCCGTGATTCTGCTGCAGGACTTCATCGGCCTCGCTCCCTCAATCATATGCAAATGGCTGTTATAGGAGGGCAGAAATTAACATCTACAAACATTGGACCGAAATTCCATCTGCCGCCTCTTAGGAGGAGGAGGCCCTTAATAAGTTCTCAGACAGCAAAGTGACACACATCTTAATCAACTCTTAATCCCAGGAATTAATTCTCAACGCGTTTATGAATAATTCCCGGGCTAATGCCTGCTGTCCGTGGAAATGCAAGCACGCCGCCGCGCGCACTGCCAGATGGACCGCCAGAACTGCAGAAATGAGAGGATTCCACTTTTTCACAAGTATTTATTGTATTATCGTCAGCAGATATATGCTTTGAGCTCGATGTCACCAGGCTGCTACTCATGCAAAGCGCTTCTGCTCATGCAAACTGTTGATTTGCGTTTACTTCCTAGCAGGACCCCCGCCCGCCTCCTCCAGATTACCCGTGTTTTAGGCTTTGTTTCAAAGCTGAGGTAGAGGTTCGAGTGTGCTCCAGGAAAGAGCCGCGGTCCGTGTTAGAAAGCAGAGGTAAGATCCGTGAAAAAGTCTGCTCAGCTCAGTGGTTCGGTCACGGGAGGCTGTGCGGTCAGTGATTAGTCACACTGTCAGCTGCTGAGGCCCGGCCTGCTCGTTAGCTCGGTGATAGTTTGTTGGACATACTGAGCAGGGAGGGAGGATGAGGGCTTTTGATTTTACAAATATAATCGAGCCCTTCATGAGAAAGTGTGTGTGTGTGTGTGCTGGTGGGTGGGGTTGTGGCACGTTGTTTTGGACAAAATGACTGGCTTGCATCACCCGCACTCGCCCTCACTGCCGAGCCAGCCGGCCTCTCGGGCCTCTCAGCACCACATTGACAGCAGGCCCCGCGTCCATCCATCACTGCCACGGCAGATATAGTGCCCCAAACTAGCTCACTGTCATTTCTGGCCAAAATACCGGACCTTGCTGATACTAAACCTGGGCGGCTGTTGCTCTGTCGAGTTCATCGCCGTTTAAGTGGCGTCTGTGGAGGGCTGTTAGCTTTAAAACAGAGAAGTGGCTCAACAACAATCCAGCGCAAAGGTAAACATCCATTGATGGTCTGCTTTTCAAATGAAAAGAGTTCATTATCATATAAGCTGATTGCCTGAATTCATATCTTGTTGCAGTTTTTGCTGGCCGTTTGTGATCTGCTGCTTTTGTTTGACTTTTACAGTGAAGCCTATAGATGGGCCTTGGATGTAAAAGTGTGTGTTTGTCGTTGTTAAGTCATCCCGTAAAAGAAAAATTGGAAAATAAAACAGTAACTGATCTTTTTAACCCACCGTCCATGTCAGAGTCATTAATCCAAAGCACTGAGGTCTCGCCCCCCACCCCCGGGATCCAGCAGTAGCTTCCACGCAGTGCTCATTTTCCCGTCTGTTGTGAAATGTTGTCACCATTGTCACGGATGCTCAATAAAAAAAGAGACTCAAGCCTTTTTTCTCTGAAGTGTAGCAAATGTTGGTGGTGATCACACGAACGTGCTTTTTAAAGGCTGAGAAACAGAAGTGAAAGAAAACGTTGATTCAGATGTGGCACATGTCGCACGGTGCTAAACCTTTCATCACAACATGTAGGTTGGCCTCAGCGCAGCATCACACCCGCTGACACGATGTGAAGACGGAGCAGGAAGAAAATGCAGTTGTATGTTTTTGTGTGTTGTTGTGCCAAACAGCATTTGTTCTGTGAACGTTAGTGGAGGACATTTGCATTTGTCAGGCTGAGTTTGGGGTTGTGTGGTTCTTTCTGGGATTACATTTAGTATTCTTACTTGATTTTGTCTTATTAAGCTGACCTCTAAATATTAGGACTTTATGTCCTCTCTGTAGGAGTCTTTAGGTGTGTTTTGCATGGAGCTACAAATATTTGCATAGACTCTTTAGGGCATTTCTGCCAAGAGAAACGGATTAGAACAATAGAATAAAGACAAAACAAGAAAAACTCCATGTGGTCACTGGTTCTCCCTCCCATATTTCAAGAGTAGAGTATAGATGAGTGACAAATTAAAAGAAAACCATTGCTACATGTTGAGCCACCACACACACCCAGATTTCTTCAGTGCTCTTTATTGTAAAGATGAAGCTCTCCTGGGAGCTGGAACTTCATCTTGCTTGTTTAGTGTTTGATAGTAGAGCGTAATGTCTGCCACGCTGGTCTAAAATGTCCTGTAGGTGTTTAACTGTCTCCAGATGGAGCGACTGTAATGACCATAACACGTGATTCAGATCATCAAGCATTAAGTGAGCCATCACATCATATGGATGGAGGCACGGTCCTCCTGGAAGAGACCAGTCCGGTCAGGATAACCATTTCATTTTGACAAAAAGGTCAGAACAACTTTGAGCCCTTTTCTCAAACTTCTTTTCAGGCCATTGCTTTTAATGAATTCCTACCATAAAACAGGGGATAGTGTTTAATCCAGGTTAGCAGTAGGATGGTCTTTGATGCAACACCGCAGTCCGAGCCCTCTGATTTAACTCTAGCAGAATGTCAGGCCTGGCATAGTGGCAAACAGAGGACAGGGAAACACATTCGTGATGGAGGGGCTGAGGAGAGGTGGGGGTCACAAATACCCGTTCGCCTGGAAATCTAAATGTGCTGCTTCTAAGTATAAAGCTTGTAACCACAACGTTAACTACACACAGACACTGGCAACATCAAACGGGGAGCAGCCGTATCATCTTTTTAAACCTCTGACATGGATTCGCTGACAGTAGCCTCAAGACCTGCTCTGAATTTTCACTCACTAACCGAACGTGGAAAATGCAAAGTCAATCAAAAAGACGAGTAAACATTGGCACCGTGCTGAGTTTAGGGTGGGTCTTTATCCCTTTGATTCCCTTTTCTTTGATTTGATTGAGTCCAGCACTTTGCAGCTGACAGTAACATCGATGAGCCTGCACTGATCCGCTCGCTTCAGGACCGTTTCTACTGGCTTCATTTCTGAACCAGCATTTTGTGATTAAACCAAATCCTATTTTCACCTCAAAGCCACAAATCATCCCATCGTTTTCTATAACTGCATTTTCAAAATCAGCTGCTTTCAGATTAATAAAACAGTGACCGACACTTTGACCTCACTGTCTTAAGTTTGTCTTGGAAATGTCATAGTGTGTTTTACAGCCAGACCTCTATAGCGCTCCCTGTGTGTCCCAAAATAGAGCCAATTCAAGGCAGGTCTACTTATAGCTGCTTGTGTCAGCCTTCTATACAGGGGATCATAATCATAACCACAACCGAGTGTGAAAGGAAAGCTTGGAGAGAGAAGAGAGCATGTATCGACAAGTACAACAAATACACACAGACCCACATGAAACACTGTGATTCAGAGGGTGATACAAAGATGTCAGGTGATCCTCAGATGCAAAGATGATTGTATGCACATGATGAACCACACTGTGTGTTTGATTTGATGCACTTCAAGTCAGAGTATTTGATAATATTTTTGAATTTTTCACGATTATGAAAACTCAGTCCCTTCCTTTTTACATTAAAGAAAGGAGTTGTGCACAACACATGAGTCTACAGTTGGTAACATCAGTATTTTATCAGCTCTGTATGGATTATGGCAGCTGGAAATGAGTCATAAATATAAAACTGGAGAAAACATGGATAAATGTTTGAACGGAGTCACGACTGTTCCTGCAGTAAGACAATATTAAAGAAGGATAATCATCTGAAATCAACACTGCAAACAAAGTAACAATATTACAAAATGATGAAAATGTTCTTGGAAATAAAATATTTAAAAACGTAAAATCGTCTTTCTGTTGGTAGAATTGTAGATTTATCAGATGATAATTGTGGTCGCTGACCTTTAGGCCGCTGTTTCTTTCTTTATGCTGACTGCAGGTGGTGAAAAGTGTTCTGACCGTGTCTTTCGCTCCGTGTGTGTCTGTGTGCAGAGCCTGGTTATGGATTTTAACCTTCTGACGGACGGTGATCCCCGCAGCCCGGCGCTGTCGCTCTCAGACTCCGGGACCCCGCAGCATGACCCGGGATGTAAAGGCCTGGACCAGAGCGGTCAGTCTGATCTCTGTCTGTCACATGACTGATGCACTGCACAAATGTACGACTAAATGGTTTATTAGTTTACTCTAACAGCGAGATGATATTTCCGTGAAGATGACTGGAAAAGAAACTGGTGGTTTTCTGCTTTTTCTGCGGGCTGTTGTGTCTGCTGACCTCGAGTGTAACGTCATTACAGAAGTGAAGAAAGGCTCGGAGTGTTGCGCTGCGAGTGGAATTACATTCTGAGCCTTTTTCATTTGCGGGTGATTTGTGTCGGCGCAGACTCTCTAGGCCCAAACTCAGGCCGATGATAAGCTCTAATCAAACGTCGCTCAATCCGACTTTGAATATGAAAATGAACCGCCGAACAATCAAACGTAATTCTCGCCGTGGACGCGCACCGGACCGGCGCCAGGATCGCGCGCTCTTTACAAGCGAGAAAACTGGAAAAGTTGCGGCCGTCGCCACATTTCTGTGTTTAATCACCAAAGCGACGAAGAACAGCTTCCCGTCAACTCTTCCGCCAATTTCTACGTGACCGTGAGACGGACGGACACCGAGAGGCGGCGGCTTCAGTTCCGTTCTTACAGAGAAGCTGCCACTCATCTTCGCTATAAAAAAAATTAACCCACTGAAATTTTTATACGTTTCACAGACTTGCGTGACGTGACTGGTCGTACATAAGAATCATCGTCTCCGCTCTCTAAGGTCTGATCTGAACCCAGACACCCGTCTGCCAGTCCGTGTCAGTGCCGTGAGGCTGTGTGTTTATGTGTGTGTAACCCAATCTAATGGCTCCACTCCGCCACGAGATCTGTGGCACTAACAAACTGTCAAACACGCGCTATTCTAAAGAGAAATGCGGCGCTCCCTCCGCAGCACCTGCTGTCGCCTTTTGTTCTCCTGCTTCTGTCACATTTCTCATCCAGTTAAAACTGCTTATTATAATAATAATAAATCAAAGAAAGCTTTTAGTTTGAAGGTAAAACTCAGTGTTTAAAGTTCAAAATCTAAATCACACAATTTATGAATTACAAGCCTTTACTCCGCAATCAAAACCCAAAATAACTCTACTTTATAAACAATGAATACGTTGATGCCAGGTCACTCATGGAAATGAGATTTTAATCTCAATGAGATTTTTTACCTGGATAAATAAAAGACTAATAAAAAAAAAGAATAATTATAATAATAATAACATTAAAGTCTGGTTTAAAGAAATTGTCTTTTGCAATAAAACATGTCATAACTTCCATTTACCACACACACACACACACACACACACACACACACACACACACACACACACGTGAAACACAGGCTATTTTATATATGTGTGTGTGTGTGTTACTTTCAGTTTAATGTTCACGTGATCATGAACAAAACATACAACCTTAAGCTCTGTTATTCTGGAGAATAGGTTGCCACACCTCACCACACCGAGCTGACGCCTATGCTGCAGGCGTAACTGAACGAGTGTGCGGTGCTACTGGACGCTTTCTCTCTGGATAAAAGGCTCCACTCCTGTAAAACCTGACTGGCTTCTGAAAGCTGGGATCTGGACTCGTCTACGTTTAGCAGCTCATGTCTTTTTCTTCTTTCTGTGAATGCATCTTGCTCTTTGTTTTTTTCCAGCTGTTGAAAAGTAATTTGGTTAAAAGCTTCTTGAAGTTGTTTTCCGTATTAAAATCTCAGAGAGGCTGACCTGGAAGGACATTGTCATGTCGGCACATTATCAGTCCGATTGCTCCTATTGTCCGTCGCTGCATTACTCTAAAAGTCGCTGCCCTTTCGTCCGTATTGTGTTATAGATTCTGGCCTTAAGTGACAGCTTACCCAGTGTCAGTTTACTGCCAGATAGCAGCTTCAGCTTATTCATTTGGTCGGTGGTCCCTTGGAGCCTGCTTTTAAACCCTGCTGATCATTTTGAACTGCTCCCAGAGAGCTAAGCCCTCACCAAACAGAGCCCAACCTGCCCTCGTCACAAAAGCCTGATCCACAGGATTAACTGGCCAACTAATTTCACTTCTTTCTGTGAGGTCCTCAAATTGCAGGAGTCAGATCTGTCAGAGAGGAGGCCTGGCAGACATAACATGCAGTCCCTTAAACACTGCACTGGGGGCGAAATGCAATCACTCTGTTCTCTTGCACATCTCTGACCATAATGCACTGTTTGCAGGCATTCCCTGCAGGCAACACGATGTTACGTTCTGGGACAGAGCGATACCATCTGATGATTCTCTCACATTATTATCCAGTCAGTTTCAGCTGGTCTGGATAGTGCCGGAGCCATCCAGCTTGAAAGGTGTCAGAAAAATGTGGCGCTTCACGACGGCAGCATGTTTCCAGTGTCTCTAGCTCTCTCCAAAGCCAGCAAAATTCCCATTTTGGGAAATCACTGTCCTACGGCATTCGGATGATTTCCCAGAAAAGAACCTGAGCGTTCAGTTTTTCTGGTGTCTATATTCAAACAAGTAGGACATGTTTATAAAATAATAAAGTACATTTCCTGTGGTTTTTCACTCTCAACCTTTTCTTAATGATGGATGCTGGAGGCGCATCAAAAATACACAAGTTCAAATGCAGAGATGGTCATGGAAGTGATGCATGGTTGCTGTGCGACAACCCAGCAGCAACCCTGAAACAGCAGCTGTACTGCTGAAGCTTTAGGATGCAGGAAACCCAAAACTCAGGCATAAACCGAACTGGGAACAGTAAGAACAGAAGCACACACAGCACAGCCTGGGTGTAAGGACACGACAAGGAACAAAGGAAAGGTAAGGGCGGAGAGAAAACACCTGCGGGACACAATCCACTAATGAGCCAAGAAAGCCAAAGCCCAGTGTGACACACACAGAACCAGGGACTATCAAAATAAAACAGGAAACGCACGAGCTCGGCATGGACAAAAAGGTAAACAAGCAGACTTCTGGAGACGGATACACGTGAACAGACTAAATACAAGAGAAGTGACACAGGAGCAAGGGAACCCCGAGAGCACTTAACCAAACACAAAGTAAGACGTGGAACACAGGAAGAATGATAACAGAAGCACAGGCAGGGATGGCCTCTGTAATCACAACGTGGAACTGACTCTGAATGTCAGGAATACAAGTCCGAACAGAGCCGGGCCGCGGCACTCCTTATGTTCACGCACACTTCCAGAGAAACACTTTATTTTTATGATCCAGGGCATTTTATACAACAGGAAGAGCAGTTTGTAAATATCGCAAAAAAGAAAACAACAACAAATAAAAACATTAACACTGCTTCTGCCAACTATTTAACACACAATATGACTATAACAAATATCACTGATGTTAAAGTCTGTTTCTGTGTTACTCGGACGTTAGCTTGTGTGTTAGTTTTGTGACATTACTTAAAGTGAAAACACTTCAGATTTATCTACATAAAACCACTTTGTTTCATAATTTATACAAATTTAAAATTTGCACGTTAATTTGCACATGTTAACTTTACTGCATAACAAAACTGGATCTGTTTGCACTGGTATAATGGTTAAATGGGTCCAGTCAGATGGGTGCTTGAAGCCTGACTCCTCCTGTAGCCTCTCACTCAGTGTTTGAGTATTAGGGAGTACTTAGACATGGATGTAGGAGGGACATGACCGTATGTATGACTGGATGACCTTTACTTGAAAGGTACCATGTGACCACCATTTACCAGTTATAAATGAGATGACTGTGGGTATAAAATGAAAAACATTTGTTAACTTCCTGAGTACGAGTCAGAAAAGCATAGATGCTGAATGAACTGAGAAACCAGCAAACACTCTTGTTTTCATGTATTTTACTTAAAGGTTACAGTCAATAAATGTTTTATACATATTTACACATTTCTGTTATTTGAGAAACGAGTTCCTCCTTGTAGGTGTGGTGCTGATTACAGTGATGTACAGCAGGTGTAGTTGGTGTTAAATGACTTCTTATGGATTTGTTGATTAATGCTGATCAGTTTTATTGGCCTTTATTACTTACAGAAAACATATGACAGAAATCTGAGTCACTGTGTCCACAGCTGCTTTCATGTGGTCTTGAGTAGAGTACAGTTATGACTGTGATCTGATTTGCATCGTCAGCCACGGCAACATACAGTTATATGCATGTTTCTTCCTTTTAAAAAACTGGTATGTTTAATTCTAATCATTACTGTACAGTCATGTATGAACCTTCACGACCAGCCGTTTGATAGTCTATAGAGTCGTTGCTGTCACTTCCTCCTTGTGTCTCATGCAATGTGTTATACCCTGTGTGTCTGTAGACACAGAGAAATCCCAGCAGAACCAGCTGGACGAGTCCAGCGCCGAGGATGGCTCTCTGAAGAAGAAGCAGCGGCGGCAGAGAACACACTTCACTAGCCAGCAGCTGCAGGAACTGGAGGCCACCTTTCAGAGGAACCGCTACCCTGACATGAGCACCAGAGAGGAGATTGCAGTATGGACCAACCTCACCGAGGCTCGGGTCAGGGTGGGTACATGAGTGCTGTCATGGTGGGGACAGGGAAGCCCTGACTGTATTTTGTTCCAGTATAGGTGACATGTTTAGTAAAAAGGCTACAAGGCTGCACAACATGTTTGCAAGCATTTCCCTGCATTAACGTTTGGTGGCCTTTGACTGTGTCCCCCAAGTGTGCAAACTTATTAACTGTGACGTCTGCAAACCACAACTTTAGTGCCATTGTCAAGCTTGGCAAAGTTAAACCTGCTACTTCTAAGTGTGCGTTCACAGTGACTGCAGCACTGCGTGGAAAATCATGATCTCCTTAATTTGAATGGCGTCAGCCTGCACAGGAGAAGGCAGAGTGCAGAGCTCAGGCAAATAAGATGCAGACGTCTCCTCACAACATGTTGTTGTCCAGCAAGTCTATGAGCCAGTCCCACAGATGACTCTGTGATGGGCTACTGTTCATAAACAATAGTGACAAATGGACTCTGATATATTACTCTGCTTTTACTTCAGGGTGGAATTATTCTTATTCTAATTTCATCAAGTGAAACGAGCCTTTTTAGCTTTGTTGGCTCTTCAGAGTTTGAACCAACTTTCTTCTGATTGGCTGCAGGTGGGAAGGTTTGTGTGCACACAGCACGAGCTGAAAGGACCACATCAGAAATATCTCCCTCACTTTGTGCACCTCCAAAAATTCAAAGGCAGAAAAGTGTCTTTGCAATCTGGGGGGTTTAATCCTGTTGGATCTTCATCTGCTCAGGAAAACACTTTACTGATTGTAATCTTTAAAATTTATGTTCATCTGTAAAGCTGGGGCAGAATTCATGATTTTAGCACAACTCAAGAACGGGATACGTCAGTCTTCTGTGTGCACCGTGCTATTCAATGTTGAAATATGTCATTAACAAATCTGCCCCCATGGATGTGACTCCATGTAATTAGCTGGGTAAAACATTTTGTTCCCTTCACCAAAGCGTGAGTTTGGACAATAAACCTAAATGTTAGGACGTGGCCACACCCACTGGTTTGGTCATTGTAGCTATATGAAGCAGGAGGACACACATTGTGATGGATGACAATACAATCGCTGGCCTGCCTGACAAGTAATGGATCAAATTAATGTTGGCTGTAGGAAAGGTCACATAGCATGCACGCTCGGCTGATATTTGGAAAGGACAATAGAGCGCACATCGTGTCGTTCCTAACGTCCATCGGTGGAATCTAAAAACTCTCGATGTGGACCGTTGAAGCAGATTCCTCCATGTTCCAAAGATTTCAACTGTCAGTGTGATTCGTGTGATTTGTCAGGGAGCTATTGTTAAACATCAAAGCTGGCTGTGCTGTGCCAGTTTTTACTTAAAGTGACTTTAAAGCGAGGCAATGACAGTCATGTTTCCAACTAAAACATGTATTTCAGGATGTTGTGCGTGTGGGAACAATCACTGTGGATCCGAAACAAAGTGGTTTTGTGGCACAACCTGCCCCCGGTGTGCGGTAACCATCCAGTGTAGTTGTAGGATCTGGTTTTGTGTGCAAAGTTCACCGTAGCAATCACAGTTAGTTTAAATATGTCTGTGAAGGTTCTCAGTCATCACAGTCTAAGGAGCCCGGAAAGAAAAAAAGAGTCTGGACTTGTTTGAGTTACTCATAGGGCAGCTTACAGAGCGCTAAAACATTTCATCTGTAAATGTTCACACAAAACAAAAGTTTGATTTTGTTGCCTTTCAAAGTAAGTTTTTGAAATTCTATGTGCTTCATTCTTGTGCAATGAGGCTCTCCTCTCTGCAGGATGAGGAAAATGGTTGACTCTTTAAAAATGTGCGGTCACATGACCCACTTCCTCTATGGTTTCGTAGAAACAGGGCGTGGCACAGATCACCCCACTGTTGATAAGACGGATTCTTGGGTAAAGAGCGAACTGATCATAAAGAACATCTACGTGATGCATTATTGGTTTTCATTTCATTTTGGATCAGCGTGATCTACACTGACTGTATGTTGAACTGAACGCTGACATCAGCAGATTAGCAGACTCATATTTTTGGATTTGAAATGTGAAATACACCCCATTAAATACACTCCGCATCAGGGCGTGGCCGGCCTTACACTTTCATGTTCTTGTCATGGCTTTGTGTCAGACTTAAATTAAAAATTATAATCAAATGTTCAGAGACTCAGACAAATCCAAGGTTGGTTTCAGTGCAGGAGATTTAAATTGACTGTCGGTGGCATATTCAGCGGCAGGTAAGTAGGACTTTAGTCGGGGCGTGCGGTAAATCAGTGCTGATAATGATGCTGGATGAGAAACGTTTGTACAACTCAGTGAATGTTGGTGGATGGCAGCACATTTTGTAAAGACATCCAAAGTATTAGATGTAATGATGATGTAAAGTGCTACATGCCAGTACTCGCCTTAAATCTATTGCAAACGTTGTTGATTCCTGGTCTAAGGAGAGTTAAAACCTAACAGATAAATGAAGCTTTTAACCTGCTTGTGTGGCTTAATAGAGTCGAGGTCTCAGAGGTCAGCACGTTTGGTCTCTTACTCTAAAGATGAGACTAAATTGAATAAACAGCTCCCAACAGTCAGGAGTGCTCTGGGTTTGCTAAACCTGTAAACTAAAGCTGGCAGTTGTTGAGCGGGTTGCTGTGAAACCTGATTATTGTTTGGTAGGTTTGGCTTTCTGACAGCTCGGGTCAGTCAGGTGACGCACTAAAGACGGGCCCAGTCTCTGCACTGGTAGATGTGTCAACAGACGAAACTGGGTCAGAGTTTCTGTGATGACTATTTTTCAGGCACAGACAAAAAGTAACAAAGTGGAGTACGGTAACCAGTCCATCTCATCAAATGTGTCTCACTGTGGTTTCAGAGGGATCGTTGGATTTGTGTATTTATTTCAGCAAAAGACGCATAAAAGTGAAAAAAACCTCTCTCAGAAACCTTCAAACAGCATTGCAGACGACTCTCACAAGCTTGTCCTGACACTTCTCTGTTACTGTAGGATCGGGTGATACACAACATGCACCAACACAGAGGTTCAGGAGGATTAAAGCAGCAGAAAACGTGAATATGACAGACATGTGGTTCTGAACAGATCACCAGGAAGCAAATATAAAGTGTTTTTCACAGACATGTAGTCACAAAGCGCTGTGCATCACAAATGAAAACGACAGGAATAATGACAATAAACTCATAGGAAATACAGTTAATAAGATAAAAAAACAAAACAAGGAAAAATACAGAAAAAAATAAATTCAAACAAAACAGAATAAAGAAACAAAAATGTTTGTAAGGACTTTGAGTCCATAGAGTCAGCTGAACAAAGTCTTTGTGCTGAAAAGCTCTGTCACCCCGAGCTTTAAGGGTAGACCACCCGCAGGGGCGAGACGGGAATTAAAATATATATTTATATATATGTAAAATAATTTAAAAATGACTTCTAAAATTGTAAAGAGTAAAAAATTAGGGCACTGAAGCACATTACTGATCTGGCAGTGGTATTTTCTATAGCTTGGAGGTGTGACAGAGAAGTGGCTGAGTGGAGCGTCACAGTCATCTGTGCACGATATCAGAAATATATGCACAATTTTCTCCGGTTCAGCCGAGGAAACTCGAGCTCACAGTTTAGTGTTGCTTAATGAAAGAAACGGGGATGTGAAATAGCGTTTACTTGTCAATCAGAGGGAATCAGATATTACACCAAGTATTTATATGGATGGTGGAGTGTGTCAAACACCATTGTTCTGCAAAGTTTGTCCAGAAATGTAGCTACAGAAGAACTCCTCTCATTTCGAAAAACCCTCGATTTGAATTTTCCACTAAAGCTTTAATCCGATATATATCCTCCAAATATAGGGCCATAAAAGCACCAATGTGACGCTTGCCCTTCCCTGACATTTCTTTCATTGAGATTTCACAATTCAAATAAGTGAATTATGAGTTTTAATAAGCCTTTCCTAATATGACTGTTTGACAGTACACTTACTGTCTGTGATCATCACGTATTTCAGAGACTGTGGGTTCGTGCGCACACAATATTACTGAGTATTTGACAGAGAGTTATGGTTAAGAGACAGTTTCTAACTTTCTTGGTCCTTCGCTTTTGTCTTTGTTATTGAAATAAAATTATGAGTGAAACTGTTAGACGTCAACTTTCAGACAAATTACATCTTCCTGTCTGTGGCATTTCATGCTGTGTGTTTCTCTACAGTTTAACCTTTTCTACCCTCAACATTACCTGTTGGCTCTGTCATTGCAAATGAACTTTCATGTAACTTCCACAAAACAATAAAAAACAAAAAGAATAAAAGTTTTTTAATTAGAGCTAGTCTTAATTTTATATAGCAGCTATAATAAGTATTAAAATATTACCAGTTTTCTAAGTAAATATATTTGTAAATGTGATACAACAACACATATAAAAGGTGTCACACAAGGAACATCTCATGATCTCAAGACCTCTGCAGCCTCACTGCTGCAAAACATACTGATGGCATTGGTTAAAGAAGAAAGGACTGAAGGTACCAGCGAGCACTGTTGGGGCCATAATCACCATAACCACGTTTATAATGACACAAATTACCAGATATTTATGAAACTATTCTTTTTAGTGAGATAGAGCATTCATGCTGTTCTTTAAACCAAAATATGTTATGGAAATATGAGCATGCTGTGCAGCACTGAGAAAGCTTACATGCTGGAGTTGTAACAATGTTTGAAAAATCTCAAAATAAAATATATATGAACTTATATTTGTATGATTATACAAACTACGATTCTGAGCCCAGTGCAGAATTGTCAGGTATAGTGTTCCCACAGTGTTCCCACAGTGTTCCCACAGTGTTCCCACAGTGTTCCCATAGTGTTCCCACAGTGTTCCCACAGTGTTCCCACAGTGTTCCCACAAGTGTTCCCACAGTGTTCCCACAGTGTTCCCATAGTGTTCCCACAGTGTTCCCATCAGTGTTCCCATAGTGTTCCCACAGTGTTCCCACATAGTGTTCACATAGTGTTCACGTGTCACAGTGTTCCCATAGTGTTCCCATAGTGTTCCCATAGTGTTCCCATCAGTGTTCCACAGTGTTCCCACAGTGTTCCACAAGTGTTCCCAAGTGTTCCCACAGTGTTCCCATAGTGTTCCCACAGTGTTCCAGTTTCCAGTGTTCCTGTCACTAGTGTTCACATAGTGTTCCACAGTGTTCATAGTGTTCCCATAGTGTTCACATAGTGTTCCCACAGTGTTCACCATAGTGTTCCCACAGTGTTCACCATCAGTGTTCCCATAGTGTTCCCATAGTGTTCCACACAGTGTTCCCTAGGTTCCCAGTGTTCCCACAGTGTTCCCATGTTCCACAAGTGTTCCCACAGTGTTCCCATAGTGTTCCCACAGTGTTCCACAGTGTTCCAGTTCCACAGTGTTCCCACAGTGTTCCCAAGTGTTCCCATAGTGTTCCCACAGTGTTCCCATAGTGTTCCACAGTGTTCCCACAGTGTTCCACAAGTGTTCCCATAGTGTTCCCAACAGTGTTCCCATAGTGTTCCCACAGTGTTCTCACATAGTGTTCCCACAGTGTTCACATAGTGTTCCCAATTCCATAGTGTTCCCACAGTGTTCCCATAGTGTTCCCACAGTGTTCACATAGTTTTCACATAGTGTTCCCACAGTGTTCACATAGTGTTCCCATAGTGTTCACATAGTGTTCCCACAGTGTTCCCACAGTGTTCCCTTCCAAACTGGCAGATGTACAAACATCCAGAATGACCACACACTGATATCTGTGAGTTAGGAGATGCTGAGCATTGTGTATTGTCCTAATTATGATGAGTTATGTATACCTGTGTTTAATGGAATTGTCTGGGTTTATTAATGACGACAGAATAAAACAGTGTTTTGGGGTTACAGTACATATATGTATATGTATGCTTTTATAGATGTTCCAAAAATGTAACAAATACAGACAAAATGTGAGGTTTTCTTCTGAAAAGAAGGCAGCTGTAACAATTCACTGTCTGAGCTTGTTTGTCTGATGGTTTCTGTGCAACCTGACTGTGGAGCTGCAGCTTTCACGAGTAACTGAAGGATTTAAACCAGGAAAGTGAAGCCAAAAAAGAGAATTCAGAACATGTCCAGCTGTGTTTGTGAAAAAAGAACGTTTTGGATGCCAAAACAATGTTCTTATGCCTCACACTGACCTGTTCATACACACACTGTATGAACTGTAACATATAACTAGCTATTTTTGTGCATCCTAGGTATGGTTCAAGAACCGGCGTGCCAAGTGGAGAAAGCGCGAGAGGAACCAGCAGGCAGAGTTATGCAAAAATGGCTTCGGTGCCCAATTCAATGGACTCATGCAGCCCTATGATGACATGTACACGGGTTATTCCTACAACAACTGGGCTACCAAGAGCCTAGCAGCAAGCAGCCCACTCTCTGCCAAGAGCTTCCCATTCTTTAACTCAATGAATGTAAGCCCCCTGTCATCCCAGCCCATGTTCTCCCCACCAAGCACCATCCCCTCCATGAACATGGCCTCTAGCATGGTGCCCACAGCAGTAGCTGGAGTTCCTGCTACGAGCCTCAACAACCTGGGCAATCTCAACAACCTCAACAGTCCCTCAGCACTCAACTCGGTAGCAGTGACCGCAGCCACCTGCCCCTACGCCACCACAGCCAGTCCCTACATGTACAGAGACACCTGTAACTCCAGTCTGGCCAGCCTGCGGCTCAAGGCCAAGCAGCACACCAATTTCGCCTATCCAGCAGTGCAGAACCCCGTGTCCAACTTGAGCCCCTGTCAATATGCTGTGGACCGGCCAGTATGAACTAGAAACTCTGACTCAGTCAACCAGCTGTAAACTCACTGCTACCCCACTTCACATCTCCTTAGTTCCATCTGTAATGTGGCCGATGCACAGCAGACTGCCAGCTTGTGTGTTCATGGTACACAATAAGAGTTATCTCCACAACTGACACAACAAATAGACATGTTCAGATGGACCACTGCGCTTTGTCGCTGAACTGACCAACTGCTTCAAATGATTTTTAAATATTATTGTTCCTTTTCATTTTTGCCTTCTTTTGAACTGCATGATTAGAATAAATGTAGAAACCAAGGCTAAAGAAAACAAAGATGCTGCAACTGGACTGCTGCTGGCCCACAAAACCCTTTGAGCTGCAGTCTTCGCTGCAACGACAACTGGAAGATGTATATAGTTGAATTTTTCTGTTTGTTTTGTATGTGAAAAATACATCAAATGTAGTACGGATGACAGGAGCATGTTCTACAAATACAAAGGCCTAGTTTGATGTTCTATGAGCACATTCTTTAAGAACTTTATTGTGAATTCCTCGACCGTTGAAGGATCATAGGTCAAAGGTCGGCTTGGAGAGGTGACAGGTTAGTCCTGAAATACGAGCACAACCTCGAATTTAAACAAACAAACACACACACATGCACCAGAATGAGCAAGAAGTTTCAAGTAAATATAAAAAGCCATTGAGTATATAGATTTGTGTGGTGTTATACAAAGAAAGTCCATGACTGTAAACATGTATGTAAGAGTGCAGTTGTTATAACAAAAAACCAAACAAAAAACAAGCGAGCTTTCTTCCTGGTGTAGCCTGCTTTGTCTCATTCATGAACCAATTAAAGGATCCGATTCTATGAACCGTGGAGAGCATCTATCACTCCGTTTCTCTCATTTCAAAGACGTGACACGAACTAAAACATGCTGTTCTCAAAGCAATGTGCATGATGTGATGGAAACAGACTCACCTCAGCAGCAAGTAGCAGGCTGGAAGAGAGTTCGATGGGAAATAGTGCTCACTGATATGTTTGACCTACAGTGTGAGTGGTGCCCACAGGAGATCCAGTAACGCTGAGAGAATTCACAGAGACGCTGCCAGTATTATATAAAGGCTTTGAGGAGCAGGGTGTCCCAGCAAAGTCAGAAACAAGGAGTTTGCATCAACATTTCCACTGCTGTTCCCTTTATCGGACTCATTCAGCTTTAAACGACAGGGTGACTTTATCTCGAGTGGGTTTTAACACTGAAGCACTGTGAAACTCCCAGAATTAATATGGAGAGTATGAAGAAAATGAAGACACTTAAAAAAATCATTTTATATAAAAATTAAACAAAAATCTTAATATTCCTTTGATTATGGACCGTGAGGCAAATACAGAGTTTAAAGAAAAATCTCTATGAATATGTTTAGATCTTCTAACACAATTTTCAGCATGTTTTTGTGACACAAAGTCAGAAGCCATAAACAAAAAGCAACAATCAAATGCCACACGTTTACAGTAGGAGCCTTTTACCTTTTCAGTGCTTTTCTCTCCATCACTTTTAAGACAGTTTTTACTCAGAAGACTTACCAGATGAGCGTGCTTTGGAACAATGGAGAAGAAGATTTACTGTGAAGCATCGTGGATGTTTGAAGCTTGTTACCAGCTCACGGTTAAGCTAAATCAGGCCTCAGAGACCAGGGTGGGGCTGGAAAACAAGATGTTAGAGGGGCAAATATTTCTTCTTATCCATATTTAAACACTTATTGAATTACCAATGGCTGAACTTAATGCACGTGTTCTTTGTTTCTCTATTGATTTATTTCTATGTATTATAATTATAAACATATCTATGTATTAATTAGATCTATTTCATTACAAATGTCATTTATTAGACCAGCTGTAAGAACACAAAAAGGAAAATATTTTAGAAATCTGTCAAAGACGTAAATAACTGGTTTCACACCCGCCACATTGGAGTTCTCTGAGAAGCCAGAAATCAATCAAGCTTAATATTCAACGACTCACATTTTTCATTTCTTTTCAGGAATACAAATAAATATGTGCCATTTTTGCATCTTAATTAAATAAACAAAATAAAAAAAATTTCAGTTTTGTTGAAAAACAGTAAATTTAAAATGAAAAAATAACAATAATTAGAATTAAAAATATTATATTTTGAAATCTAATTTCACATATTGTGAACACTTGCAGGTGGATTAACATCACACAAACAAAAACAATGACTCTCAGCTGTCCTTTTGGCTGAGGGTGTAATTAACTCATTAAGGCCTGTATGTCCATAATTACATTACAGCCCTGCAAAATCAATAGAATTATTTTACTTCTCAGGCTGAATGAGATGCTTGTTTTTAAAATGAAATATTAAATCCTATAATAATAAAATCAAACAGACATTCTCCAGTGGAGATCCTGATCACAGGACCTTTCATCAGATACTGATTGTTGTGTGAGTGTTTTTTAAGATTTGTTGTAATGATTAATAATCCAGTAATATTCTTCACACAGCTGAAGATTCACATTTGCATAAGCTTCTATATAAACTTCTATTCACCAGAATTATGAATATTTAAAAGCAGGCCAAATCACCCACATCTAAAGAACAGTAATGACTATATCACCCTAAATGTTAAGCTGTAGATTAAGGGTGTTGTGCACACACAAACATGTGCTGCAGTATTAAAAACACCCTCAGAGACAAAGCAGCACTGTCAGATTGTACAACAAGCAGCAAGGAGCGCTCAAATTAACCTGCTGATCCAGCTGCAGCGAGTCTCCTGGTGGCCTCCTCACAGACCTGTTTTGTGGAGTGAAGAGAAACGGTCACAGTATGTGCTCCTCACAGCCACACCACAATAAAGAATCAATACTCCACCGGAGGGTTTATAGGTCCCTGATGTTTCCTCAGACCCACAGAAAGAGAGGAGAGGGCACAGAGCGTGGTCTGGAAAAAATACAGAATGAAGGAAGTTCTAACAATTACCTCAGAGAGTAGGGGAGAAGAGCAAACTAACAGGGAGGAGTTAACGCTAGAAACAGAGAAGATTCAGCCGTTCTCTAGTTTTGCTTTAACCTAATATTTCATAAATGGTTTTAAAACAATCCCGACACCTCAGAGGAAGTTAGGGATTATGCTTTAAGAAATGATGCATTAATTACTTTTAACACAAGGACTTTAGATGATTATGTTCAAAATAGAAAAGGATAGATTTGATATATGTACAACACCGATGAAGACGTAATCTAATGTTTGTAATATTTTTATTTACATTATAATCATTACTATATTACTTTTTTTAAAAAAAGCATAATTTTAAAATAGAATTAGACAGGTGGCGTGGCATAAATGACACGTCTGGAGAGTTTAGGAGTCAAAAATATTAATTAGAACATATTAAAATGGCGACCCATGACACTATTGGCAGGACTCATGCATTATGGGAGTGCTGCTAAAACTCCTTGTGTGTGTGTTTGACATCTATCCGCCCATTTTCTTGCTCTTTCTGGGATTTAAGATCACCTTTATTAGTCCCACACGTGGGAAATGTGTTTTGTTACAGCAGAAAGTGGACAGTGCAAAGTTACATAGCAAAAATGAGAAAAACACTGGTATAGGATAAGATGATAAGGCCACTTCCAGCTCATCTAGGAGACACCAAAATGTTCCAAAGCTAGTCAAGAGACATAATCTGTCCAGTCTGTCCTGTGTCTGCACAGGGGTCTCCTCCTGGTAGACCATGTGCACAACACCTCCTCAGATGACCCAGTTAGAGGCCTGAACCACTTCAGCTGGCTCCTTTTGTTATAGAGAAGTAGTTATGGTGCTCTGTACCTCCGAATGACTGAACTCCTCACCCTATCAGTGAGGGACAGCCCAGCCACACTTCTTGGATCAGCAGTCTCATTCTTTTGGTCACGACCCAATGCGTGAGACCATAGGTGACGATATAGGATAGAAAATGGGACTGACGGTCATGGCAGGGATGGGCACCGCTGCAGTGGTTGCGGGACAGTGTCAGGCTTGCAGGGCAGCTGGGACTGACGGGGTAAAATGAACTCAGCTGAGCTGGAGACATTGTGACTCAAAAGTCTTAGTATCACAAAAATGTGATTTAGTGTGGTCGTGTGTTGATATTGTAAATAAGTGGACTGTTGGGTGTGGCTGTGTGCAGGCAGGAATAGGACCCAAGGTGCAGACTCCGGAGACAGAACTTAAACCAAAACAGCTTTAATGCTGAACTCAAACATAACATAACTGGGGAAAAAAGGTCAAAAAATAAACTAACACCGGCGGATTGACAAAACACACAGCAAAATAAACGGTAGA